CGGGTCGAAACCTGTCTTCCCATTCACTCCTGTCAGGAAATCTGACTGTGAAGGGGTTTTCATATACATGTCTCAGTATCATTTTGTCGGACCCCATTTGTAATATGGGTTAATTTTTCATGTCCTGAGTCATGTATGCATGGCTGAAACCATCAGATCTAGGTTTCCATTGTCCACTGCACTGGAGACAATAAATTCTTGCTCTGGCCTCTGCATCAAACTGTGCATGCAGTGTGGGGACTCCAAGGAGTACATCATTGATCTCCTGGCAGTGTCTCCTCCATGAGGATCACTTTTCTTTCCTTATTTCTTTGTTGTAACAGGTAAGGGCTTCCTTGTAGGTGTCCCACTGCCCTGTTCTTTTAGCTGTATTGAACAGCCTTCTTGTTTTGATCCTAAGCCCACTCAGCTGTTTATTCCACCAAGGCATTCTCCTTTGTCCACGAGTGGTCTTAGCTGGACAATTCTGATTAAAGAACAAGATAATAGCCCATTACAACTGGTCAATGGACTGATCAGCATCCTTTATTGTGCGTATATTATGCTAGATGGTCTCTAGATTTACCTTTAGGTCATGTTTGTAAGACTCCCAATTGGTTCAGTTAGGATTCCTATAAGTAGCTTGATCTACTGTAATGTTACTTATTTTAAGCATATATATCTATGATCCAATAGGGACGGTTCATCAGATACATGCCAGTTACTTACCAGGTTTCCTATGTCGTTTGTCCCTAGTGTCAAATCAATAACCTCCTTCCTATTGCAAACCACAAAGGTAGGTTTGTTACCATGGTTTAGAATATTCAGGTTTGAACTCACCAGAAATTCCACAAGACTCTCTCCCCTTGGGTTAGTGCCGGTGCTCCCCCACAAGATGTGCTGCGCGTTGGCATCACACCCAATGATGAGTTGCTTTTTTCCTGCTACAGCAGTAGTCTGTGATGTCCCTCATTTCCTTAGTTGGTGGTGGTTCATCCGAGTCATATGAAAGGTAGACTGAAGCAACAGTCAGCTCCTTGCTGCCTTCTTGATACGGGTGTGTTATCCTTACTGCCGATGTATCCCTAGAACAGAGCTCCAGCAAAGGCAAGGCATTAACACGATTCCTGATATAAACACAAGATCTTGCATTATTACTGGGTACAACAGAGTAAACTGTTCCCCCTGTATTATTTAAGCCCCTTATTTGACCCTTGTATAACCAAGGTTCCTGAATAAGTGCTATATCTGCCTTACCCTCAGCTAGCTGTTGGCACAGAGCTGCCATGACAGCTTTGCTGTGGTGTAGGTTGATATGAAGAAACTTCATGATCTCTTATAATTGAGGAGGGGTCAATTTCCATCTTATGTCCCTCTCCGTTCTTGGACTGGGTTCCGTGTGAAGGGGTCCCCTGATCCATTTTGCTTTGGTCATCCGGGGGGCTGGGTACGTCATCCTCTTCCTCCTCAGAGACCGAGTTAGAAGGATCATCCAGCACCTTAACAGTCCCCTGTGAGAGTCCTGTAAATATTTTGTAACCGGTCCTCTGTATAATAGTATGGGAGTCCCGGTCAATGAATAAGATAAGTCTTTGGCCTTTCGATTCAGATTGCTTGTCTAGTACCCTCCAGGTCTCTGTATGAAGTCCTGGATTAAGGTCTGCAGTCCATTTCAGCAGCTCTTCCTGGTTTGGGGCAATTTTGTCCCTAGTCCAGAGAGCTACTTTAACAGGCTTAGGCAGGTTCCTGGCATCAGTAGCCTTCACCATGGTCCCTGATTTGAGCATGTGGTTGTCAGTGGCTTTGATGAGCCATTGACCAGACTGTTGGTTGGCACATAAGTGCACCTCCCAACCATCTGTAGGATTTCAGGTGTGATAGTTCTTCCTTTAGAGTCCTACATAACACCTCGCCCAATACTTCCAGAATGGAATTTTGGTCGTTTTCGATAAGCTTATCCTCAGGGTAAGTTTCCTTGAAGATAGCTACCTTTATATTGGTCAGAGCCTCCTTGTAAGTCCCTGGTCCTTTACAGTCCCTGGGCTTTTTCAGAGTTCTGGCCATTTCTGTAGGGGTACTGCCCTCCGACCTTGACCTCTTAAAGGTGCCGGTGGGGGTTTCTCCCTGCCTGGAAGAGCTTGCATTTCCTGGTTGCTGACTGCTCCCAGTTCCTGCTTTGCTTGTCTCAGCTTTTGCCTTTTTTGACATCTGTCTAGTGCATCCAGACAAAGCTTTCTTCGCCAGACAGGGTCCACCTACTCCAGAGCCTAGGTGTCCCAGTCTTTCCCCTGCTGCAGGTATGTTAGAAGTACTGGCTCCCTGCAGTGGTGTGTCAGTACTACCGACCCCCAGGAGAGTAGTTTTTAGTTTTGCCTCTGTCAAGTTTTGAATCACTGGTTCATCCTTGCCTTTGGCTGAAATTTCAACAGCAGGTTCGTCGGTTGCAACCGGGCCCCTTAATGGTTCACCAGAGCTTCCAGCTCCCTGCTGAAGCATTTCTCATAGGGATCCCCTTGAAGGGGGGACCCTCTTCAGTTTAAGGTCCTTGCGATCGGTTTTTGGTTTCGTTCCTTTTTTCATTTCGGTCCCACGAGTAATGGGGATTTAAAAGGTCACCACCCGCAGAGCCCCATATGGGTGGAAGGCATAAATACAACGGGGTGCTGCCTGGTGCCCTGAGGGGATCGTTTGCGACACTGGCCAATAACCACCTCAGTGCCATGCAGCCCTCGGCACCATGCCTCACACCCTTGGCTTAGGAGGTTGGTCCTTCATAAATATAACCCTCACAAGCCTCCAGGACCAAGAGTGCATGTTTGGGGGGAGAGGGGTATCCCAGATGATAAATGGGAGTGCGATACTAATTGTCATGAGGTTGCTACCAGGGCATCCTACATGAGATTATTGCCCCTGTAGGTTGCTTCAGAGCTCCCCCATTCCGGACCCTCCATGTGGGTTGGTCAAAACCATTTTAGAGTGTTGAGCCCTAAGGCTTGCAGCACCTTATCAGTACTCTAGGGAGACAACTCAAATAGCTGTAGCTACCCCCATAGGAGTGCTCTCCTGCATTCGTCCCAGGTACATCGTAATGAAACCCAAGAGTCATTATGCCGCCGCGTGGGAGGGTCTGGTCAAATAGCCATTGCGCTTTATGGAAACTCGGCCGCCAGCCCCGGAAGCTCATGTTAATGCAGACCCCCAAGACTGTCGTTGCCCAGCAGGACCACGAGGAGGTGTTCCAAAGCTGTGTCTCAACCCATCCCTGGTCTATGATACGTCCCCACCAAAGACACAGCCACCGGATTGATCTCATGACTGTAGAAACCAACTTCAAAAATGAACCCTGCTAGCTGGATTGTGAAGCTGCAAAGTGTGCTTGGATTACTGTTGTTCTGTAGGGTTTAAGCTTTGAAAATTGTGTTGCCCTTCTTGCACTAGAGTTTGACACTCCAGTCTCTCAAGCTAGACATTGTAGTTATTTTCTAGATTTATGTTCAGATCTGGCTCCTGTGTCATCTGGCTTTTCTTCAGTAAGCACTTGGTGCTTATGTTTTTGTTTCTTGTCTGTTAAGAGTTCTGTTGATCTAAGTTTATTCACCAAATTGCAAATTGCTTGTCAGCTGGGAACCCTTTCATCATGAAATTTATGTAGAAATTTTTGCTGACACTTACTGGCAGATCCATATTTCACATAGGTGTCATACAGAAATAGATGTTGCTATAAAATGCACTGCACCATGACAGAATACACTGATCACTAATTGTAACTGAGAACAGGTGGCTCATGGAGCTGATAACTGCCACCCACTGCTTACAAATCATAAACAAATTCCCATGCATGAACCACACTGATTGCTGTGAAACATAATGCCATCATGTGGTCCACAAAGCTAATAATTTCCCTTAATTCCAAACGTTATCAGCCATCAGGCATACTGCTTCATCAACAAAATACATATGTGCCTTGCAGCGGGCGGTGTACCGGTCGTTTTGAAGCGCAGAGCCATGAACCAGTCAATAAAGGTAAGAACCTCCCTGTATTTTCATTTTATAAATTTTAATAAATCTATGACATTGCAAGTATATTTTCTGTTTTCGTATGTTTAACATTAATATGTAGGCAAATTTTAATTTTATGATGTTGAAGAATGGGTATATTTTCATCATATAATTCAGCATAAACTGTGCATATTTATTCTTATTCATGGACACCTGATGATGGTCTAAAGAGACCAAAATATGTAGTGTGACTAATATAATAAACTGACTGACTTACTGGTTCCATTTAATCTCAATCATTTTATTATACAGTAAACAAATGTTGTGTGAATATGATATATACACAACAGGATGCATAAATAGAAATAGCACAGGAAAACGACAGTTTTGTTTAATTTTACTTTATTGTAGAGGATGCATACCAGCAACAAGCAGTCATAGATGGTGAAGCATCCCAGTTGGACATATTGGACACAGCTGGACAGGTAAGCGTGAATTTTCAAAATATCTAATTGCTATACTGATATGAGTAAGAGACAGTCACACTGTGTAATAATATCAAAGACTGACTATGAGTCTTTGTGATTTCATTTACTTTCTGTCGACAGTATCTTCATAACTTACATTTTGATAATTATTTTTGGTTCTTCTGGCAAAGTGTGCTGTTTCCTTTGACATTAACACTGTGATGAGCAAACTTTGGACCAAGTGTAGCACAGTTTCATAAATAGAAAACAAAACTGTTAACATTTAAAAATGAATTAACAATCAAGTTCCTTCCGTCAAATGTGACACTTTTTTAAGTTTTCCACCTCGTCAGCACCTGCCTTACATGTTTCGGCTCACCACGGAGCCATCATCAGAGGCATTTATAGTAGAAAAAGAAATCACCAACACACAAAACTTCACTTTGTCCAAGATAGCCACGTTCCAGTTAATTAAAATAATTACAAATAGNCCCAGAATTGAAGTGCTGTTGGTAAAGAAGTCATGCCACACTTCTCATTGCCATTCTTTTATCTCTTTTTACCCTTAAAGTATAAAACAGGAATATACTGTATATTCCAGTACTTTTGCAGTATACTAGTGCTGTCCTGTTAACTTCTTTTAACTGAAGATATAACACAATTTATGTTAACACATTCATTTCTGAATATTTAAATACTGCTTTAAATACATGATGCAAGTGGCTATGATGAAGCCAACTAATAGATGAGCTTCAGTTTGAAAAATAAATGCCTGTATTGAATACGTGGGGAAGTCATAAAATTTTAATTATCTCCCAGAAGAAACAGAGGCACAGGTGAAAGAAATTGTGAGTTAGTCCTTTTCTGCATATGCTCCCGTCAAGGCCACACATTTTCCCCAGCGATGCATTAGCTGCTGGATACCTTGATCATAGAAGGTCTCATTTTGACTGTTTAGGAAGTCCTCCACTGCAGAAATGACATCATCTTGGACTCGCTCACCACAAAGTGGCTTCTTTAGCCCTGGAAAGAGGAAGAAGTTGCCCGGTGCCACGTCTGGTGAATATAGTGGAGGGGGGAGAATTTCATATCCCAAACTGGCAGCAAGTGTCATTGTAGAATGAGCCGGTGTGTTATTGTGAAGAAGTCGTACACCTTTTGCCAGCATTCCACATCACGTTTTCTTGATTTGGTCCTGTTATTTTCTCAGAAGGTTCCGGTAGTACTCACCACTGATGGTGACACCCTTTTGTGCATAGTTGGTCATGATGACACCCCACCAATCCCAGAACACACTTAACATCACCTTTCCTGATGACGGCTCAGATTTGGCCTTCTTTGGTGGCGGGGAGTCTGCATGTTTCCACTGCTTGCTAATTTCCTTTGTTTCAGGGTCATAATGATAGATCCAACATTCATCCATCATGATCAGGCATTCGAAAAATTCCACCTTTTCATTTTGACACAACTGGAAAAGTTTCTTTGCCACATCCATCTGTTACTGTTTTTGAACTGGTGTCAAAAATCATGGCACCCAATGCACAGCGACCTTCGTCATGTGTAACTCGTCATGGATGAGGTTGAAAACCGACCCATGACTAATGTGGACCTCATGAGCCATGGCTTCGATAGTTATGCGCCTATTGGATAGGAACAAAGCTTCCACCTGTGCCACAATTCCTGGTTCCTCAGTGAGAGATTGTCTTCCACTTCAGGGTTCATCTTTGAGGTTTCTCTGTCCACAATGAAAGTGCCTCTTCCACATGACCACTGTGTCATATGATACAACATGTATACATGATACACAACGGTCATCTGGTTGTGGATCTCCCTGGTAGACTTCCCCTGCAAATCACAAACTATATCACAGTGTGAGCCTCTACTTTCTCAACCAACATCGCCATTTTGCTTCTGCCCCTTCTGGTGGCTCACTCTGTCCACTTGGCGCGGGAAATTTGACTGTTAGGTAAGCTTAGGAAATGGGCTGTCTCCTATATAGAACAATATTTTGGAATTACGATTTTCTCATGGTGATAATTAAAACATGACTTCGCATCATATATATAAAATACTGGTACAAAGCTTGTATTATGATGTGTGAAGGTATTTTTACCATTTGACTGGCATCTTTTGGAGAGAACATGACATTTTGACAACTAGGAATGACAAAGTTAGCTGTTATTGTGCTGGGCAAGCACACTTGCTTGAATGGGAACAACCATCATTTGAAGTGAATGTTGTTACAAAAATAAAATATACTATGTTCTGTGTGTGTATATCACTTTTGATGGTTTTAGGTGGAATTCACTGCCATGAGAGACCAATACATGCGATGTGGAGAAGGTTTCATGATTTGCTATTCTGTCACTGACAGACATAGTTTCCAAGAAGCTGTAGAGTATTGTAAATTAATCACAAGATTCCGAGCTTCTGAAGACATACCTTTAGTCCTCGTTGGAAACAAATTTGATCTTCAGACACAAAGAAAGGTATCAAGAAAAAGACTTTTTCATATTTTCTGATGCTAGTTAATTGTTAGAGATGCAAAGTCGAGAAACAGAATTGAATTAATATTTTGAGCAGATTTATTTGTACAATATATACCATATTTACGCATGTATAGGCCGTGTGCGTGTATAGGCCGCAGCACAATTTTCAGACAGAAATTATAGAAAAAATAATTTTCTTGGAATATTATTTCAGGAGTATTACACCCTGTATTACTAATTATGCATATAGTTTTTTTTTAAATGAAGTGTGATTTCGAATATTTCGAATATAAGCCGCACCCCAGTTTTCCTCTTGAATTTTTGGCAAAAAATGTGCGGCCTATACATGCGTAAATACGGTAAATATCCCAGTGCAACTTGAATTAATGTACGAGTATTGTGAACTAGCCTGTATATTAATTAACATGAAGTATGGGTTTGCTGATGTTGTCAGGTCAGACTACATAACAAATCCTTGAAGTAGTGTGGAAAGTAGTCAGAAATTCTATGAAGTAACTTGGTGATGTCAGACCTGTCATTCTGTTTTCTTGCTTTTGGCACCTTAACATATTGATCTATATTGTATAAGTTCATTGCTGCTGCTACAATAGCAGTGGTAGCAGCAGCAGCAGTAATAATAATAATAATAATAATAATAATAATAGTAGCAGCAGTAGTAGTAGTAGTAGTAGTAGTAGTAGTAGTAGTAGTAGTAGTATTTCAGTATTCTGTTGCAATAATTGTCTATTTTTTAAAATTAAAATTCCATTCTTTCTGAACCTTCCATTACTTTTTGGCAATTGAGTGATTGCTCTTCACTGTCGCTCCTCGTGAAACAAAATCCTAAAGAGATAATACCAAGATAATGTCAGCTGAACCATACTTCGAGAATTAAACGTGTAAGTGAGATACAACCAGGGCTTGAGGTGGGGTGGGATGGCATCCTGGTTCTTTTCTAAATGACTTAAAAGCATCCCGTTACTTCTTTGGCAGTAAATGCAATGTACAATACCAAGGGCTTAAGGTGGGGCGGGATGGCATCCCGGTTCTATTTTCATTCCACCTCAAGCACTGGATACAACATATTTCCAGCTACCAAGAAATAAGACTTAGATTTTAACTATGAGTATTAATGCCAGTCTTCTAATTAATCTAAGCATTAATTAAAAGAAATTGCCTAAGCTCCTCTCAACATGAGCAAAACACAGTGAAAAAACTTGCATCTTACAATTAATATACCTGATGATGGCTGTGTGAGGCTGAAACATGTTGTGAACAAATGCATGTAAATGAATGTCATGTGATAGTGAAGAACAGTCACAAAAGCTGCAGTAAAAAAAGAAATAAAAAATTATTATTTCTTTAATTCATTATGACGATAATTGTTATTAAAAACTGTTGTATTTGCATTTGCCTTGTTGTCTGTTTATATACATGTACATCATTATTGCCCACACAACTTTTCTCTTTATAATTATAGTATTTCCATTTTTTCTTTCATTAATATACATATAATTTCCAAGAACCATCTCTCCCATCCTATGTCTCCCAAATGGCACATTATACAAAATATTGGTAAAGATGAAAGATAGTCCCATTTAGAGAGATAACCCTGAGAAAATTTGTAATTTTGATGCCACATGCATGGATTCAGATCCAAGCCAGCATATTTTCTCTTTACTTCTGCCATAAGAAAGACATTGGGATCTCGATAACGGTGGGATTGATTGTTGTCAGGCTATGGGAAAAACCAGTAGTATCTTCTGCTGTTTCTAGGATATGGGGGGGGACCCAAGCTTTCTTCTGCCATTACTAGGATATGGAGGAAACCCCAAATTACCATTTGCTATTGTTAGGATACAGGGATAGTTTCTGAAATTATGATATAGACATGAGCTGTGACAGGATTTGAATATTTAAGTCCATTCATTGGTAATGCTTTAAGAAACACAGACTTTAAATGTAGGACTGTGTGGATCTCAGCATGAATACTGTTATGCGAGCATAATCTTAAACCAGTAGTTCCAGGTAGAAATCCTAAAGCCTGCTTTCATATGGAACATCTTTGTAGTCCCACAGATCTTGTGCCATTAACATTTTATTTACATTATGTATGTGGTGAATCCAAAAGTTCCCGAAATATATTAATAAAAACTATTTACATCTTACCTGGATCTTATTCTGCACCATCACCTTCAAAGTAGTCCCCTTTGGAGCACATGCACCGATCCCAGCGTTTCTGCCACTTATGAAATACATCCTGGAAGTCTTTCTTTGTTAGGGTGTTTAGTACCATCTGTGTTTCCGCTTGAATTTCCTCAACTATCAAATCTTCGCCCCTTCACTTGATTTTCATCTTGGGGAAGAGAAAGAAGTCGCATGGAGCTAAGTCTGGTGAGTATGGTGGGTGGGGAACAACTGCCATCTTGTTTTTAGCCAAAAATTCCTGCACAATGTAAGCCGTATGCAGTCCTGTGTTGTCATGGTGGAGTACCCAGTCGTTTATGCGCCACTTCTCTGGACGTTTTCTCCTCATGTCCTTCCTCAAATGCCTTAGAACATTGCAATAGAACTCTTTATTGACTGTCTGACCAGGAGGGATGAACTCCTTATGAACAATCCCATCAGTAGCAAAAGAATAGATCAACATAGACTTAATGTTGCTCTTGACTGGTCGAGCTCTTTTTGGCCAAGGTGAAGAAGGGCTCTTCCATTGTGACGATTGCTGCTTACTTTCAGGGTAATAGCCATAAACCCAACTTTTGTCACCAGTGACAACCTTCAAAAGAAAGTCTGGATCCTCATGAAGCTGTTGTTGAAGTTCTCTGCAGACTTCCAAGCGATGCTGCTTCTGTTCATTTTGCAGCAGTCATGGCACAAACTTCGCCGCAGTCCTCCTCATGTTCAGATTCTCTTGACAAAATTTGTTGACATGTACCATAACTTAGTCCCAAGGTGTTACAGAGGTCTTGGATGGTCAGTCTATGATCGTGCAGAATCAGATCCCTAACTTTTGCGACATTTTCTGGTGTGGTGCCAGTTGACGGCCATCCTGAACGATCGTCATCATTGTCAGTCGATGTTTGGCCATTTTTGAAATGCTTATACCAGTTGTAAGTTTGTGTCTGGCCTAATCTGTTGTCACCAAAAGCTTGCTTCAATATTTGGTGCGTTTCTGCAGTGGCTTTCAATAGTTTTAAACAAAATTTTATACAGACATGCTGCTCTCTCAGGTCAGCCATCGCAAAACCGCAAACTCACGGAAATACAACAATGGAAATACGTTCACCAACCATAAACACAACCACTCAACTCGACGCCGCTTGCCACACTGATTCAAGAAGGGTGTGTGGGCAGACACCAAGAGGTATTTTGATATGCTCATAACCATTTGCGCGCAGAATTCAAATTTTTGGAACTTTGGGATTGCACCACGTATATTTATGTTGTAACAATAAAATTCAGTTTAGTTCATGGGCTACCATTATGGACATATGTAGAAATGGCAGTAATATGTAATATTAAATATTTTTAGCCTAATTTCCTTAAATTTGAAAAAAAATGAAAGTAGGCTTGTGAGATCACCCTCCCCCGAGAGTGTGTATGTGTGTGTGTGTGCATGCACGCACGAGCATGTGTCTCAACCCAACAGCTTTTGGAAGCTCAATGTCAGACTAATCTTAATAAAATTTTGCATATACAGTCAACTCTCGATTATCCGGGGGCGGATTAANGAAATTTTGCATATATGTCATTTTGCTTGAGGCAATCTCAATGGCATACTCAGTACATCACTTCCATCAGTAATACCAACTTTGCAGACACTCAAATTGTTTATGTAAGAACCTTAATATTACTTGAATGCCTCAACTGATCATCGCAAAATGTCATGTATACCATGCCACCTTAGGCCGTCTACAGGCTGGACGACCGACTGTCAGAGTTCAAGTCCCAGTAGTGTCAAGACTTTTCTGTTCTCCAAATTGTCCAGTCCAGCTCTGGGCCTGCTGTTTGATTATTTCCTTGCTGGACTTATTTTTTGACACTAAAGATCAGTAAAATTCTATCAGACTAAACGGCATTACATCCCTACACAATCTTCACAGTCATTGCTGTGAGAACCGCAAGTGCAACAACTCACTTAACATTAAGGCACTGTCATGACTGTGAACACAAAACTGATTTGTTTCGTCGCCAGTCACCAGAATATCTAAATTCCATTATACACAATGGGATGAAAAAAAAATAAAGATAACTTAACGTTTCCTGACACTTTTTAATTCTTTACTGTGTATGTTTCACTAATAACTTTTTCATGGTCCTAAAATTCTGAGTAATTTGTGTAAGCCTCTACTAGAAACCAGTACAGTGCTTCATATAACACTTTCAACAGGATTTAAGTAAGCCATCCCTTTCATTCTGATCAGGACTCAGCAGCAAGTTAATTGTGGTCAACAGGGACTGCTAATGTATGGGAGAATAATAATATTTTTTGTACTTATAATTTATAGAAGTTTCTGAAGTTAGTTTTTGAAGCCTGATGACTGACAAAAAGTATCAAAATTTGGAAAAAAAAAAGGTTTACTGCTTGTCTGTAAGCAGTTCCACTGACATGTGTGAATGTGTCTTCTTAACATTGAACATCATGTCAATATATTACTCCTGGCCCTTAGATAATCACTTGAATTTGTGTTCAAGTTCAGTATTTATCAATTACCCACTGAAACTGATAAAATTAGTGTATTGAATAAGTGTAAATCTTCTTCAGTTTATTTATTATGTTTGTATTTCCACGTTTTTCACATTATCTATACACTGATATACACCTTTTTTTGCAAATTTATTTTTATTCTTAAATTTTCACATTAATGAAGTTTTATGTTAGTGAAATTAATGTAAATTCTGAAATAAGAAATTAGTATTTGAGCTTCAAGTTGCACTTGACCTATGAAGCCTGTGTTTTCATTCTTATTCTTATTACCTACTAAGAAAGCATACGAAGGGGGACCCAAAAATAACTGGAACCGACCTGTTGCGCGCGCATGCTTTGTAGTTACGAGTTGTGCTGCTAGGTGGTGTTAGCTGGGGGTCTCCCGCGACTGTTAGTGAGCTGGCGTCAGTATGAGTTAAGTGGTTTGTCTGTGGTGCTCTGTTGTGTGCGTTCCTGTTTCAACCCTTTGGCGATTAGTGAGATGGCCGACCAGAAGGAACAAAGAGTGTGCGTGAAATTTTGCTTTCTGTTAGGGAAAACTGCAGCCGAGAC